TGCACTACAGCATTGCCTTGGTTTCTCACCTACTACAGTGCGTTCTTGCCGGCCACGCACAATCTCCGGGCTCCACTGAATCCTTTCCTGCATAAGGACACTAAATAGGTCTGGTCCGCGGAACGCCAAGCTGCATATACCAAGCTCAAGACGATGCTCAGCTCAGGCCTGTTGTTGACATTATGATCCCAATATGCCCGTCGTGGTCGCAGCAGATGCTTCTAATTACGACAGGGGCAATCATTTTCCACGTTTTCCCAGAGGGTTCAAAAAAATCCTCGTTCAAGCCTCGCGGACACTTAAAGCAGCTGAGGAAAATTACGGCCAAATCGAAAAAGTGGTTTTGGATGTTACATTTGCTGTCAAGCAATTTCACAAATTCCTGTTTAGTATCACGCTTTTTCATCTAGTTTATCTTTTTTGTACTGCAGCACAATAACTGAAGTGTGTTTCTCACCTTTAACTTGTGTAATGATGATGATGATGATGAACGATGAGCGCATTTGCCCAGTGGTGTCACGCTTGCAGTTCTCCGTGAGCGTGATCGAGGTCAGCAACCTACCATTGTCCGTTGCAAATACTTATAGACAGCCATTGTACTTGTTTGAGATCTACCACAGTTTTAAGCTAGCGGCATCAGTTGTTATCTTAGCCCGTCCCGACAACTCTGTATGTTGACTTGCTGCGACTGAATGCTTCCACTGAGCTGTTTGGTCCATTGAGATATACTGGGTTTTTCTCTCGGATTCATCGAGAACTATTCCTACCAGATTGGTCAGTGGTTAGAGTCCAAACGTACTCCGTCTCCTAGTCTTGCAAGTTGGAAATGAGAGGGCCGGATCATTACCATCCCCCCGCTGCTTTGTGGTCAGGTTATTGAACTACAGGTGTTGGTTGATTACTCTTATTATTCTCTTGTTTAGGTTTGGATGCCCTGGCAGTATCCCAGACCACGTGCAACTAAGACTATTTCACCACAATTAAACCACACCCTGCATCAGCTGTCGCATAGTTTCAGATAGGGTGGTTCATCTGCTACACACAGCAGGGTGGATAATCAAAAACGCTACTGTTGATGCTTGCTATCTTGTTCATCTGTTTCCTTTACACCCCTGTTGACTCTCATTATTAACCTTCTATGGTTTTCAGTTTCGTTGGCGGTGACTGCAATACCACTAGAGTTCCACCATCTGCAGCTATCTACCTGCATTACCTACTGGACTCCTAACGTCAACGGCCCGTTACAAGAGCATGCTGCCCCGTTTCCGTGGTTATGTTCAAATTTAAGTCAAAACAAGCAGGTTAACTGGCTGAACTTGAACGCGCCCTAGGTGTTTGTGTGCCACGATGAGGTGCGTAGACGAGTACTTATCAGTGATAGTCAGGCTAGTTTCTCAGAACAACAGATAACATTGAATAAAGTCGGTCAAGCAATCAAGCTCTTTTTTGATGATTCATCGCGAGCCCAAATATAACGTTTAAATAGTTAAGATTAGAAAGGGTGGGTTGTGTAACTAGAACATGTAGGCGTGTGAGAGTTGTTTGTTTTAAACTTGTCACATGTTGAATCCTTGCTTTGGCGGAGGTGATGGCGATTCGTCTCAACAATCTCCAGTTGTGTGTGTGTGCACAAAAAGTTAGTCAAGACTGGCTTTACCATGACCAGCTGTCATCCGGGCAGCTTCCGCGCGAACAAACCACATTTTGGGCATTTTGACACCCACTTGTTCTAGTTACTCAATTCACCCTTTCTTAGCTGTTTAGTGTATTGTATTTGGCCTGCCGATGTATCACTGAGAACGCGTTTGTTTGCTAGGCCATCATTTCAACACGGAATAAGTTGCGTTGGCTTGGGCACGTACTATGTGTGCCACTTCACGACTAGAGCCTTGTTTGTATTTTTGCTAGATGTAGAGCGGCGCTGATTCTTTGAACGAAGATAGTACTACAAACAGTATAACTCGGAGACGGAGGAATATGCTTCACTAGTCTAACAACGGAAATATATGAGCTGCAATGTCATAAGAACTGGCCATGATGCGTTAGATAAAAGCCAGGTGAGTGGATGAAAAAGCTTTACTACGACATTCATCTCAGCTTAACAATGGAACTGCTGCTCCCACAGAGGTTAAACGCAGTAATCATTATGCACGAAAATGGGTTATAAAATTCCGAAGAAAGATTTTAATTCAGACCTCTACTTCGCAAATTGTATGGACGCGTCCTCTACTGATGCTCCATGGTATCAGGTGTTAAAGTAAGACGCGAGAGTAGGCAAGCTTGTCTATGCAGCCATTCTCCTGGAGTTCTTGTGCTGGTATTTCGTAGCTAGGATGTCTAGTAGAATCCGCTCTCATCGGACATTGATACAGGAAACTCACCTCGAGGGGCGAGGCGGCTAATGGAAACGTTTTCTAACATCAGATAGTTTTATACCAGCGTAGTAAGGTTAACTTCTTCCACCAGAGGCTCGTACTTCGAATACTGGTCCATTCGTCTAAACAAAACTGGATCAGGAACTGTCAGTCATGGAGGATTCATTAGTTGACCATCGTGCGAAGCAGAGAAGTCGTTCGTGTGGTGTGGTGTTCATGGCGATGCACAATAAGGACCGAAATGGATGCAGGGCATCCAGGAGGACAGATTTCCACTCGAGATTGCTAGGCTTCTACTTTTCAAAGCCGGTGAAATAGTGTTCCAGAGTGTACCATTCAGACGCTCTACTTGACCGTTGGCTTGTGGGTTGTAGCCAGTCGTGTGTACTTACCCACTCCTTTACTCCGTAGGAAGTGAATTAACTCCGATGACATAAACGAAGACGCACCATCCGTGTATGTAAAAGGGCATGCCGAAGACAGCGAACAATTCGCAGAGGCAATTGGTGACAGTAGAAGCAAAGTATATCTGGGCATGCGAATGCAAGTGGGAACCTGGCGTGTTCATTGATGATAACAAATATCGATTTCGAGTGATTGTGGGTAACGGTCCTTTGAAGTCCATGCTAAGCGTAGCTCTTATGAGTCGGCCCATGGATTGTTTATAGAATTAAGGTTTCAATTCTGCACAAGCAGCCTACTTACGTCTTCCACGAAACAGGATAGGTTTCGAGGACGAGCACAATGAACCATCCTAGTCACTCCCGGGTGGCATAATGTATCAGGCATGTCCCTCAGTTTCGGATCGTTGGAGTTAGATGCACAAGTAGAGCCAGGGAGCGCATCAGCCATTTGATTATCTTCCCATATCTGTAGATTATATCGTGGTGATAAGCAGACAATTCAAATCGCCATCTTTAGATTTTGTTACTTTTAACCTTGCTGGCACGTCTAATATCATACACGAAAGCTACGGACCGTTGATCCGTGATAAGTTTGAAGTGTGTTCCGAAGTGGTAGTGGCGCCACTTTTGAACAGCTTCCACTGGCACACATTTCATTTTCAACGGGTGAATGATATCTTTCACTGTTGGACAGGATGCGCAATAAGAAGGCCACTGCTCGGTTGTTTTGACTCACTGAGCCACCGGTGGCTATGTCAGATTCATCCGTTTCAATAACCAGAGGAATATAATCCATCGTCACTACCATTGCATTATTAAAGCCAGTTTGAGCTGCTCGAATGCACTTCCCACATGCGATGGAGGAGGAAACGCTCGGTTCTTCACCAGGGGACTAATTTTACCCGATAATGATGGAATCCACTGAGAGTAGTAAACGAACATCCCAACTCGCTTTTAGGACTTCAGGTCATTGGGGTGGAAATTGACGTATGGACTGCATCCATTCGTGATCTGGTCTTATTTCACTCTTAGATAGATGGTAACCGCGGAAGTGGATTTCCTCGGAGGCCGTAGTGGTTTTAATGTCGTTCAAGGTGATGTCGTATTTTGCAACTGCTTTCGAAAATTTTCCAGGTTGTGTTCGTGGTTTCGTTTCGTGACCCTACATACTGTCACGTTGTCAATGTAAGAAATTGTCGATGAAATTGGAAAAGATTTCCACACACTTCAAAAGTGTTCTAAGGCTTTTCACACTCAATGATAGGGACCTGATGATAAGCATTTTCAGGTCTAGTGTATTATATACAGCAAAAAGAGAAATGGTCTTCACCATTTTGTCAATTCGCAGTGGACAAAAGTTAGCTTAGCAACGGTACATGAGGTCATTGACTACAGAACTGGGTGCTGTTAGACCATCTCGCCTTCCAGGCTGGAGTCCATTTGACCCGCCTTTTGCTTTGGATCGAGACGTTTCAGGGTATGGATTGTAGTCGGCACCAATGGCACGTTTACTGATTTCTCCTATTTGGATTGACAGCTTAAATTGTGTGTAGTGGCGTTGTCTGGGGGCTAGTGTTTGATTATGACCCGAGGCAGTGAAAGCCGCAAAGAAGCTGTGTCGCTGATGCCGCATTATCTTTGCACGATACCCAGCTGTTTGTGATGGTGTTGCCAAGGTATAGACACTTTGATCCTGAATGCTTGTTCAAGGCATTAAGGTCTTACGCTAGGTCTCCCTTCTCGTGATACTGATGCTTATTGAGTATTGGTGGACTATACATCAATCGTGACTCCCATCTGTACACTTCCAATTTTTATTACTCCTGATTCCCACTGGATAATCTCCGTGTGGACGAAGCTGCGCGTGGTGGAGTACAGGCTACCCATGGTGCGGACCTCCAGTGACTGTTCTCAGCTAACGACAACTGATTCTGAAATTAACTGCAACCAGCGGCTACTACTAAGAAATGCATATGGGTATAGCACCGATTTCCGGATATTCAGGTTTTGATAGGGCATTCAGAGAAATCAGTGCTATATATTTCCTGTGGCTGCGATCGTCTATCTGATTGACTGTATCGACCGCAATCGTTGTTAGGCTATAGTGGCGCTGAGCCGCTCTCTTGCCGTACTGCAACGTGACAGTATATGCAGGTACAGTTGTCTGTGTTTCTTGATGTCCTTCCACTGTTCGCATTGCAGTCCTTTGTATATCTTTCAGAAGTTGGAGTTTGTGAACTCTCAATACAATGGACAAGTTCACCAAAAGACCACCGAGCCCGTTGGAGACCACAGGGCAGCGGAATGATCAGTCAGAGTCTGGAAAACCTCTAGATCCGATTGAAGAGCGGTCCGCAACTTTGCTGGACGTGAGCCAGACACTGTGGCAAAAACGGAAATATTTCAGTGTACGCGGTTCATCGTTATGTCTTGGGAATTTGGTTGCTCTTGATTTTTTTTGTATTTACCATGTCAGTTAATGTACCTAACTCCACAGTCGTATCGCGGCCATTAAACCGAACTAATCTGAGCAGATATAGTTACGGGTCGTCGATTCACATCTTGGTTGCTGCTCTTCAGCTATCGTCTATACCAGTTCTTTTGGTTGCATATTCAATGACTTTCACGGAAACCCAACTGTGTAAGGCCTCGCATGTGGTTCTTTGCCTTTAGTACCGTAACACCGACGTTCTTTGCTCCAGCCCACATCGCAATGAAGCTGGTGATTTGATTCTACTTCATTCCTAATTTACAATGGTTATAGTGACGATTTTGACATGTGACTCACAAATCCTAATATTTGCACATCGGGAATGGCTTCATTAATGGCTGACACAGTCACCAGGTCAGTAGCGCTATTGCTTTCGTTCCTTAGTTTTGGAACTTAACCGTTCCCTTTGGCAGCTTCACTTTTTACCTTGGATTATCATTCTCGTCAGTTGTTCCCGGTTCTTGTCTCATTTGCTGATGAGCCATTTAGGGTTGGCTTGGCGTTTTGTTACCTCAGTGCCACAGTTCCTTTGTCTGGTTTGGTTTCTTTCTCCTACGTACTGGTTGATGATTTCCTGCAATTTCGTAATGTATTCATCGCTACGGGACAAGTGTTTAAGGAATAAAAATGTTTTACCTGCTTCCGTACTCCTTACAATCAAACCTGTTATTGGAGGTCAGACATACCATGGGATCAACCTTGAGCGCCAGTGTATCTAGTTTTTTTCCGAATGCTGGAAGTCACAGCCGTTGTTCGCTATACTAATGCAGAGCATATCAATGCCTGCTTACCCAGAATCGTGAAGTTTCTCACCTAGCATCAATCGTTATCAAGACAGACCGCTCATACTAATCGTCCAGGTCCATTTCATAGCTGCAACTCTGTTACGGAGTTGCTACGGCAACGCCAAACTTGCGCAGATTTCGCCGGGCTCACTTGAGACCCTGCGATCACCATGGGGCAATTCAGTTTACGCTAGAAAACAAACGAGCTATCCCCAGGACAGATTGCAAGCGACAACGAACTAACTAATCTCTACTCGGGACGCATGCATCTGTTGTGTACGCTGCAGTGGACCCACTGAACTCTGCTCATGACACTACTGCCTCTATCGTGTCATGCCACAGTGAACCACCTGAGCTCCGCAGTTGCTGCGGCAGTTACTGCACAAACTCATACTGACACTAACTGAGATCCCATCAGGACACCATCACTGGGCAACAATTCATGTGCTTCGCCAACATCTATCTTTCTCCATAGTCTATGCTATTCTATTGAGCTATGAAAATGGTATTGTAGAAGGCATGCTTCGCCTTGGCTGCATTAGTAAAAGAATTCTTGCTAACAGTTAGTTTTCCTTCTCGTTCGGGTCACATTGCAGTCGTGCTAGACTGCGCGTATTCGTCTCCAGTCTTTGCTCACGTGTAAGTCTGGCGGCTAAGTCTCATTGTCCCGCGGCGTTACGAATTCGATTGGCTACACTGCACACATGGGATACTATCTGTGCGGAACGTTCGTCCGTTCCGACTAAGAGTCGAAACAACTAGGGAGCGTTATAACAATCTCCACTAGTGAAGTCTAGTGTCAATTGACTGCTAATCGACTACGTTCCGAATTCCACTCCCAGCTCAGGTTATCTCTATTTGGTGAGTCCAAACAACGACGAAACGTGTCGTGGAGTGCAGTTGGGAGAGAGCAATATCGAAACCCTTGAAGGTCCAGAAATTCTTTTTGGTAGGGGAGCACAAAGTGACACAACACGAATGCTTATGCCTTACGGCACAACTGTATGCCGGTCCCGAACAGCACGCAACTAGGGGAATCCATCACCCTCGTCAGTATAATCAGCACAGACCCATAAACAACCGTCGTTATCGTTCGGTTTCCGGTGGGCGGACTAATTGGGCATCTCTATCACCTTTAATACTAGTATGATCCTTATTCCTCGACTTGTGGGTGACGAATGAGGATTTTTGATAATGCTCACTTTTCCGCTTGCTTCCAGGATGCATTCGATTGGTGCTTGCGATGAAGCATCAAAATGGTACGGCGTTTTTCGATGCTACAGATTATCTCTGATGGGTGTCCGGTGTCGAATCGCTCGTATTAGAGGGGCTTACTTACAGTCATTCGATGAGTCAACAACAATGTCGTAGGTACCCTGTGGTATTAATACAGCTTCTTCAGCGCTGAGTGGTATGCAGTCATTACCAATAAAACATCAGCCAGACAATCAAGCAGTGGTCAAAGCGCTACTGTCTTGCACCCATTTTTCAGAGAATCAAGTCTCAACTCCTGAAATCCTGGGTGCGGGCTAGAGCCTTTAGCTAACTGACCCGACGCGACGCGAACTGTGACAGTTCGAAGGGGGCTTAATGCACTTCGTTTAATGCTGAATCGGCTATACAATCAGCTCAAATTGTGCAATGTATTGCGTTTTGGTGCCAAGCCTTAGAAGAGGAGACCTGTAACATGCCACATGCTGTCTCATGGGTGTATTCTACTTCCCAGCTACTTCTAAGAAAGATTCTGTTTCCCACGGTAATGGAGACCATGGAACCTAACGAGGAGATAATCACGGCGTCTTGGAAATTCGCTCACTCTTGGTCAAAGCAATTGTTGGCTTGGCATAGTTGTCACGTGTTCTATCGTATTATACAGTTCGATTGCAAACACAGACGAGTTCTAGTGGGTCTTGAAGTTTATTGGCCGTGTGGCGACCAGTCACCGCATAACATTTTCACAATAGAGACTACTCGCTGCGATGACCTTCCACGCAGTGCGCCATGGTCTTGCATCACGTAAACGGTTGTCTCTTACAGATACTTTTTATGGGAGGACGATTATCGACATCACTATAGTCTTCACAATAGATCTTGGGGTCTCGTCTTTACAAACTGTAATGCCTTTTCTTAATACCTCGGTAGATCACGAATGTGCGCTTCGTTACGGTTTCATTGTATAATTTTAGCCATGTTCGTCCCTCATCGTTTTTCATCCCGCGGATGCTTAGAGCGCTTTCGTCTACTTCTCTTTCTGCGTTGCGTATGCATTGATTGCTCAGTTCCTTTCAGTTAAGCTGGTTCGTTTTGCTACGGCACCTAAACGAATTGGTTCAGATCGAGATACTCCGGTCTTGCAGAACCTGACTTTTCATGGAAATGTTAAGGGGGAATCTGCGACCGCATTTCGTTTGGTGCGCCACGTAAAGTACGCTGCATAGCGACTAGTGGTGACCAACTGTACGTGTGACGATCTTCAAGTCAATAAAGATTATTTTAGTACATTCTGTCTAGTTGTAACATGGTCAGTCTACTTTCCAACCTTTTGCTTTCTTCGAAAACAATTTGCCCGGCACTTCATGATGCCTATGAATGGTTTGAAGACTCTTGTTGTCAATTTCGCACTCGATGATTTTCATCCACATTGCTTCCGCACAATTCGTCAGAGTATAATAGATTCTTTTGAGGTGGTGTGCAAATCCACCTAGTACTAAGTTAGCATTGTTCGAAAACGAAGGTGGTGGGTGTTAATAAGGACAACTTGTGTTCCAAATAACAATATCAGAAGACGGAAATTGTGGGATGACACTGTCATTGCGTGTATACTCGTCAGCCAGGTACATGCAACTACCAAGAGCTGTAAACAATGTCGCATGAAATCAATTAATAGTCAAGTTTTTTTCCGATTGGTGCGTTGCACGCTACCACCGTAGGCTTAGTGTCACTGCCAGAGTGATGGGCGCTGTCGATCGGTAACTGGGGTCTTGAGTATGTGAGGCCTTTGCCTGCGCACAAGGACTGTGAATGACTTATCCGGGTTTACCTGGTACCGGACGCTCGTCAAATGCCTTGTAATTGCAGAGGCAATTCGTTTCTCAATTCACCTGGTGCAACCGTCGCATGGTCCATCTGTTTGCGGAGCCACTTTGGAATGGGTTCACGGATTCAAACACCTAGATTTCCATCAGTGCGCCCAACACAGTAAATTTGTATAAGCAGAGGGACGTGCACTGCTTCGACACCGGCGTCTTCTCTGAACACTTTAGCAATGGTCTTGTGGTCACGAGCATGCGACGCTCTGCTGCATTGTATGTTTTTTTGTGGTATTGCTTCTTTTAACGTTGACTTCCATGAGGTGGTCACCTTTGAAAGGCAAACCATTGAAAACCTGTTTCTTTTTAACCGTATCCTCTCGATCTCGTTTCATCGACTCACTGAAGCGCTTTATGAACTCCAATGGATAACCATTAGATTGTAGCACGTCAAACAGCAGTTCTTTCTCTGCCTCCAGTGTATCTGTGGTGCACGAAATGACAGTGACTACCCACAATCTCCGTCTTTTGAGATTCATATTTGAAATTGTGTAAGGACGCCATGGTCGGCTACCGTCCTCCATGACGCAGTTGCATAAGCCGCCGACTAGTTGGCACAAGCTACTAGCAGTCATGGGTTCGATCCTCCGTAGAGGACCGAAGGATGCGCACCACTGACGATCCCCAATAGGGCGAAACGGCCGTCTGGTGCTTTTCCGGATAGGTAGTTGACTTATAGGATTGTTGGCTGACTGCGACGAACAAAAAATACTCACAAAAAATTCTTCTACCCATAAGTAAGGATATTCGTGTTTCAAACAACTCGTGTTGTCTGTTCCCGTGACGTATTTCGCCCCTAAAACTTAAGTCCTACCGTCCGAGGAGATCCGCAAGCTATTATACTTTATCTAATGCTGTTGATTCTCTATGCTAACCTTTCGTAGAAAATGTGTCCCTCCTACGTAATACACGCTTATTCTCCCACTTACTTTTTTACTCCCTAAAACCTATTCCTAGGAGCAAATGGTTACCAGTTGCTCACGCCGAGATCAGTTGGAAAGGGACTTAAAATATTTGCACGAACGCAAGGTCAAATGTCAATCGATCATACGGGACAATGACTCTAAACGTTGGAGAGCCTTGCAGAAATTTTGTTCAGATAATTACTTGTGTACCGTTCGTAAAAAAGAAAAGCAGATGCTTAACGCGGAACTTCGAAAAGCCAAGCAAACGTGAGAGAGTTTATTCAGATTCTTGTTGCTTTTACGAGAGAACTTTTCGCTGTTGCAATCGTACGCTTTCTCCTTTTGTTACCTTATTTTAGCTTCGCCACCTTGAATGCCAGAGCTTCGGATTTGAGGAAGTACGAATTGTATATGCTTAACGTCATATCTTCCCTACCAAAAGGTGAGGATTGTTGCGTTTCCGCTTCCTTTGTGCTTAAGCAATTGTGGATTTGGTAAGAACATCTGTTGTCCTTTCATGTATTTTTCATTCTTAAATCGAGTGTGGTATAATAGAACATCATCCGACAAACTGTCATCATTATCGTATTGCTATCTTGTAGTGGTGTTCCTCTGTCAAACTAACGATAGTTGTATGTGACCTAAATTGCTACTAGGGTGTCATATGGTGGCGATCGGTGTACTTAGAAATGTGTGCTTGCATATCGAATCCGCATACAATCGAACCGAACACGTATACCTCTTCACACTTCTCGTTTGAGGCGTGGCGATCTAATTACATGCATAGCGTTGGCTGGAATCTGGTAGACCCTCTTCAGCGCTTCACGTTTGACTGATCTACTCTTCCATATGTTATATGTCATATTTTGGTCCCGACTGCCCCACCCTGTCGCCACTTGCTGTTTTTATAACTTCGTGCTGCGCTGACGAAGAGCTTTGCTGCGCCCAAATTGTTCACTCCCTGCTGTTCCTTGCATAATCTCCTGCTTGAAATCGCCTCTCCCGATAATGATCATTTGAGTTTTACTGGGACTCTGGTTGTGTCTATCAAATGACCTCATGGTCACTGAAAACTCACCAGCCGTGGTTCTTGACTAGGAAGACCACTCTCAGTTGTGGCATCTTTCAAGTCTGTCTAGCATTGTGTGACATGGCGATCAGTACACCGAATTGAGCGAACTTTATCAATTCGATAATCGCTGAGCATGGCCGGACTTTTTCAATGCTAAACCCACGAACAATGCAACGCTCATGTTCGATGGATAGCACCTTCGTGATAGCAAACACTGATTTACATTTCCACACCTTTGTCACTAACAGAAACCAGGAACATGAATTTTGGATTTCGTCCCTTCTAAGGTTAACGAAACCAAACGGCATCTGTTATGCTGCCTTATTCGGTGCATGGTCTTCGTATCCCATATCGAAGAAACGACCTCAATATATCGCGACCCATTGCGGCACGCTGAATAACACTCTACAATGACCTCAGGACGTGGTGGGTTTTCGCCTGGCAAGCGTTCTCCCTATGCAAAGCCTTATATCCCTTTTACAACACTGACGTGGCGAATGACTGCCCACTAAATGAAGTCACTGCCCCTTGCCTCTCTCTGAATGGCATTGTAATTCATGGATGTGTTGGGCCCCTGGTCCTATGCGGTCCTAAAGGCGTATGAACCAATTGTTTGGTCACTGGCTCCCAACGGGTTGCGGTACCCTCATATCGCCCTGCTGCCTTGTAGGTTAGATCCTTGATCAAAGGCTCGGGGTCGTGTCCCCTAAGACAGGGTTCCGATGGCACAATATTTGTACACAGATTGTGATATATATATATATATATATATATATATATATATTACAATGGCCTTCAGTGAAGCCTATTGCTGATAAGCTAGTCAAACTATGCCGCTGCATACATTGTCTTGGCTGGGTAATGCTGGTTATCCGCTTCGTCACAAAAGTCCTCCATCAGAGACAACAGTGTATATGGCACAAGCTCCGCGTGCGTTGCACGAAGCATCTTCTCCATTGAGTTATTGTGCAGTTGAATGAACGGACGCGGCGATTCTCCAACTTAATCGATAACTAACGCGCTGCTCTTCTAGAATGATCCATTTTGTTCATTTTTGGAATACGCGTTGTGTTTCTGGATTGCAACACGCAATGTCGAGACCACTGTTTATTTTGAAGCAAATCTCTACCACTCCGATTACTGGGACCGCATCGGATTGCACAGTTTGGTGCAGTGTCAGAAGAGGTCACCACCTAAGACCCTTTAGTTCTTTGCTTTTATTTCATATGCTTAGTTCTCAGTTGGATGGTATCTGAAATGTGTCATTGTCTGTGGAAAATGTGTTGTGATTGCTCTCCCGCGTTTTTCTGTTCAGACTACATCAAGCTTGCCGATGACGCTGTGGCAGGATTAATGATGCGCTATAACACTTTATATGAGACTAACACTAGCCTCCGCCGGGAAATGGAGGCGAAGGCCGAGGAGGTGAGTTTCTTACAACCACGTTTCGTCTATTCGCTACATTGCCATCGGCTAACCGGCAAAATTGTTATGGATCTTTAGTCTTTTTCGTAAGTCGGTTTCATCTCTATCTCTCTCAGCATAGTCAGCCATCTCGCGTTGACTCACAGGCTATGACGATTGATCGGAACCAGTAACTGGGGGCATAGTAGTCTGGAAGAGTGAAACACAGCTCACATAGTGGATCATTGGGAACTCAGGAAACGTAGATGCTGATTAGGAATAGCATCTGCCATCTGAACTCTGTCACGGAGAGCACTTTGTGTGATGTTGCAGTTATCATCATTCACCGAATCCAAAATCTGCAGCCACTGAAGGGCACACAGCCTATCAGGGCCGACTCCCATTGTGTATACCAATTGGTATGTAATTGCGAAGGTACTTACGTAGTCAAAACTGATAGGATATTTTGGAACTCAGGGTCTAATACGAGACAGCGCAGCATGCATGGCCATCTCAGGCGACGCGTTCACATAGTCCGCTAGCATCTTCGATCGGCAGACAATTCTAGACCTCAAGTCACCTGATTGTCACCACTTCGTTCAGAGTTCTGCTGCGGCATACCATTGCCGTCTCCTCAGCCCTGACGAGGTTGTTGCGATGACCCGGTGCTTTATGTACAGAATCAATTATCGACTAGTCTCAAATTGCTCTGGAGGTATGGGGGGGGGATTTCCGTTTTTTCGTCTGTTTGTAAGTTTGCAGCCACTGGAAGCCGTATCCAATTTCCAGTCGTTATTGGTACTGACGAGGCGAGACGATATGCATATGCCGACAATTCCTATTCTCGCTGTACTTTTCAATTTATACACTACATTTGCGTTTCGCTTACCAAAAGTCTCCTGTGTTCAAATTGCTTTTTTAAGTACTCATTATGTGATTAGATTGGGATTGCGTATTGCAATTCCATCACAAAATGGGTACTTCAAAATGACCCATCCAATCAACCATTACCCGGTGGGACATGCGTTACCTGCTGCGACTCGGTAGCTTGGTGGTTGAGGCTCCGGTGGATGTCCCAAGGGCCTCTTATCTCTACCTGATGAGAGCAAGCAAGTTCAAAACGAGTCGGGGTGTATCCTGGGTTTCCTTTCCCCTCTCATTTTTACACCTAACTTCTGGTCGCGATGGAACTAGACCTTATTACGGTGCGATGATTCTCGCAAGCCAGTGGTACATTGTGCTACGAGGTATCTTGTTGTGCCTCCAGAGCCACTCGTCGTCAAGCAGCTCTCGCTCAATGTGGTCCTGGTCCATTAACCTGCCTAACTGATCTTAACATCAATCACCATCCTGTTTGCTAAATCACGTATCCTGCCTCATCACCCAGGTGCGCGTTGCGCAATCTGACCTGAAGTCACTGGTCGAGGCCCATCGAATTCTTTTATTTGGCAAGAACTCGGAACTTTCAGAGTTGTACACACATCGGGAAAAAATGAACGATTTGTTTCAAGGGGCTCAGCAATCCCTTATACATGGTCACGAGGAGCTTGCTCAACAGGTTGGTATGCTTTTGTGTCACACTTACTTTTAACCGATATGTTTATTCATTTCTGTCTGTTTGGTTTTTGATAACCACATTATGTGTTTTGTACTGTCCAGGCAGATATTTTTTACCGTACCTTATCCCTTCTTATGTCTTATTCAAACCTACCTCTGGACACCACAAACTGAAGTCTCAGATTTACGTTTTTCGTTCAAAGTACTCTTTTTCATTTTCGGAGTATAGCTCTGTGCCGCCAGTATTCAATACGTCCATAGCCTTAAGAGCAGACGGCATTTCAGAGTTCTTGTGACTGCACCTCATATTGGATCCTTTTAGCTCTCAAGATCAATCTAATCTACCTCAGTAGACGCTCTGTCTGTCCTCGACCTGCATCGTAGTTTTCATCTTATCACATTCTCGTTGCAGGTTTTCCCAGTTGCATCTACTACTCTGTGAACCTTTCATTACTTTAACCCTTCATCCTATTTCTTCTCTTCGGTTCCGTTTACTGTATCCTGGGATTAACCTGTGGTAGTTTCTAGTGACAATACGAAGCCTAGACTAAGTAAACCGCACAGGATGGGAACGGAAACTGCAGAGTAGTGAATTTAAACTTTACTCACAGTCTGGACAAAGGGGATAAAACGTAGATTTTCGTTACCATGGTTCTATAATTCTATAAGCCCATAGACAACTTACGAGTAAGTTTGCAATTCTGATGAAAAGATCAGGCACAGGAAGACGTGCGGCAGCTTACGGAAACGTTGCATCGTGGATTTCACTAATCGGCGGTGTCCATGTGAAGTGTTTGACATTGAGGAGTCAATGAAATGTTAATGGTGCGAATTAAAAACGTTCAACGTTTAATAATGCAGATGTTCAAAACATACATGTGTAAAATTCTGTATGTGAATAGGGTAAGGGTTTGAGAATACGAATGCCATGTCCTTAAATGGATAATCCGGTTTGGGGCAGAAAACAACTCACCTATTGTGCCGCAATACAAAGAAAAGATAAACCATGCAACGGTGGCACGTCGGCTGAGTCACCAGTAACGGATGGACATCGTTCCAGAGAGCTAACAGCCTGCTATTGTGCCATAAACGGAGAGTTATGCCTAATAAATGCGATCGTGGTTGGAGAGGGAAGCTAAGCGAAAGGAGAAGGGACAAAGAAGCTCACAACGCAAAAGCCAGTGAGGTCGGCTCCTCGCCATGTCAATAAGTGTGTCCAGCCAAAAGTGTTCACTAGTGGAGTCAATCAAGGAAAAATCCTTGGCCCACTTCTTTTTCTAATATTTGATAACGATTTATTCCAGAGAAAAGAGTTAGTGCTACGTTTCTGTTTGCTGTTGACATTAAAGTTGTCTACTCACAAGAACGTGCAAATCCCCAGGCAGCCGCACGCCACATTCAGGATGACGTATCCGCCCTTGACTGCTGATGCCAACTGTGGCAGATGTCATTTGCCGTGGACAAGTGTAATATTTTGTCGTACAAATTCCAAGTACCGCCAGACAGCCTTACTGCAAGGCACATACATCTCACCATGCAGGACAGTTCGTGACTTGGGCGTGCGGTATTCAGTTATCCTTAATTTTTCTGAACATTGTGACTTTCAAGTTTCGAAGCCCATGGGATACACATGCCATTATTCTTATCTTACGGAATCTCGCATCTGACCTTACAAAACATATGTATTGTCTTGTATGCAATACTGCTAATTGGTCCAATCGAATCTGCAAAAATCGGATCAATGCGCTCTTGTGAGAGTCCATCGTCGCTTCACGGATAATATATTTGGCTATTCCCCTAAGATGATAAGCTTGGATTTGACTCATTCTAGCTTCTGTTTTCTTTACAAAATCATAAACCATCAAATTCACAGTTCTGATGACAGCGGTCACGTCTTTAAGCAGCAGATACCCGATCCGCAACAAAGAGATAAAGGTATTTTATTCCAAAACTTACCATGGGAATCAGAGAACGTTTCTTTCTAGTCCACTACACAAAAATTTGCAACAAGCCTCCAATAGATATAAGAACATGCTGTACACTCCGTACTTCTAAACTTGCGTTTAGTGGGCAGTTAACCATCCAACATGCGATTGGTATGTTCGGGACATCACAATCCATGGATAATACTTTTGAGAGCGGTATCCAAAGCGGCTGATCAAATTACGACCAACACACGCATATCCTTTTTTGGACCACAGTCTCCGAACGTCTTTATGTGATTTTGAAGAACCCTGCTTCAACGATGGGTGGAAAGAGCAGCCGAACCATTTTGATTATTTTATGTTGCCTAAATTTGAACTTGTGCTCATATTTATTTTTGAAAAACTATTTATGTAATGGCATGAAAAGGACGTAACAACTTGCGATCTGTTCCTTCTAGGGAACAGATTCTCTCATTGTCGTGGAATATACAGTTTATCTAATTTCTTTATTTCGGACTCCAACCAGGCAGCCGAGAGGTTCCAACCGAGGCAAACTTCGTAGTACGGTCTTTCATTCCTCTTTACCTAGTCATTGCTTGACCACACATCCTCTTATTCCACCCACATCCCCGGCGAGCACGTCATGCGAGTCGGTGAGCTGGCATGCGCAACACCTATCCCTGTCATCGGAGCCTGGTGCGTGTTATAACGGGGATGAGCGGTTCACTTTTTCCTGTGCGGTGAACGAGGCGTCGAACACGCTCATTGCTCACAGGTGTTCCCCTCCGATATGGGCTAAACTGCGAAGCCACTGGTGGTTGAACGGAAGTAACCTCTTTATGTCCCCTGATCTAATGGACCTGGTTCCACGGCCGTACATCGATCGGGGTCGTACATACAGCTGCGTTGCACACTCCACTCTTCAGGGAGAGAGTGATGTCGCGCCGGCACCGTGAGTGGCGCAGGTTAGCGAAATCGTCTTGTGCTTTTGCTATACGGTTTGTGACCTTGTCTTCAATTCCAACGGCACAGCCTAGTTAGTTGAATTTTTGAACGCTTTTTGGCTGATCCCCACCAAGTACCAACGCAGGAGGTCCCTGCCAGTCTTGGAGGAAAGTTATGAACTTCGAGGGTGCAAAGCATAGTCCGAAACGGCTGACAGCCAGTGCTGATCTGTCCACAGCCGCTTGACACGTCACATAATAGGGCGAAGTTCTTTTTGGACTTCACATTGCCCACATTAAGCAGCTGCAGTATCATATACTAATGCAGCAATATATTTACCTCTCTCTGGTCTACGAGTCGAAGATGATGTTGATACGGTTTCTCGGCATCAAAGGTGTGTTGTAACTGCTATGTGGAGCGCACGTCCCTAGAAGATGGCGCAAGCCAAAATTGCGAACACACGTCCATATGAGTACACATGTCCGACATGCCTCTGCATTATAAGACTTCACTTATCCTGACATTTGTATAAGTCCGCTTATTACGCTATGCCTTCGCTTCCTGCCAGTGACGCACTCGCATTATGTAAATTCACATGTTCAGACTCCCGTTTCCCTTGTTAAGCCTACTATGTAAGAGCTCAAATATTTGAAGTGGTCGATAATGTCCGTAGCTCGGGTTGTGGAGGTGTAGGACTAGTAAATACTAGTCCGAGACTGTGCGCGTTATCGAGCGCGGATATCAGAAGGCAATTCAAGTCGGACACAGCGGAATATATTCGATAGGTTACAAAAAGACGTGGGTGGATGAAGCGAGATGAGAGTAAACGTTGGGGCGACAACTTACAGAGCAAACGAGTGTTGAGTCAACATGGCCATACTGCAAGGGAGATTAAAACAAGAAAGAACAATCTACAATTGGTTATCAATAAAATTGTGTACAAAAGATGCTAGTTATCTTTTGGGGCGCTACAGGTGTGAGTTTTGCACTGCACTTCGATCTGAATGATTAGTTTACAGACCTTTCATTGTCACACTTTGCAACATCACCAGTGCAACTTCAAAGGCCCGTTTAGCAGAGCATCCTAAGCGACTTTGAGATCTAGGTGCTTATTGATTGAGTTTTGCTTCGAATAACACGCTTCGATACACTCGATTTTTGGCTTGTGGCTCTTCCGAGGAGTTCGGTGTCCTCCATGTCGAACTGATGGTTTTCGGAATCCACATGCACAGACATCAAAGAGTTCTGATCATGATGGCGAATCGCTAGGCTATGTTCATACAGCCTTGCGCCAAGCTTTATTCCTGTTTGCCCTACGTTGTATTTGTCACAATTTAGGCAACAGATCTGGTAGATTATATCAGATGTTTCCCACCTGCTAACTGAATCTTTAACTTTGAAGAGTCTACTTCGTATTGTCTTTGTTGGTTGGCGAACAATCCTGACTCCAAAACGCAGAAAATGTCTCGTTACCATTCCAGCGATTTTGTTGAGGTTTGTTGTATTGCCTTGTGTGGGGCCAAGCGGGGCTGAACGAAGCTTTTTGAATACAAATTATGTTTGAACAGGCAGAAGAGATGGTCTTCTTTCGTCTGCCTCAGCTGCGACGTGCTACATTGTGTCCGTGCTCGTTTGAAAAGGATTGGCATGCAACTACGCTTGTGGACTGCCGGATGATTACTGTTGTACATGAGGACCTGGTCCGTATGCGTTTGCTTTTGATTAACTGTAATTTCCAATAGTCCAGGACCAATCATACGTATGAGAACGTCTAAAAATGCTAGTTGCCCATTTTCCTTCCCTACCCTAGTGAATTGGATGCCGTCGTACACATTGTTGATTGGCTCATATGTATCCTCTAATTTGGAACGCTTGAAGATGGTGAATTTGTCGTCTGCATAGCTTACCCGAAGTATCGGTTTCGCAGTTAGGATTGCTATCCGTTCCGGCGCCTGCCATACTACTTCGTCTACCAGTCCAGAGATCGGCGATCCCATTAGTATGCCTTTTATCTGCTTGTAGATTTGGGCGTTGCAGGTGAAATGAGTTGGTAGACAAAGTCCCAGCAGCTCCATCCTTTGTCCGGCGTCGATTTTACTACTTGTATCGGAAGCGGCATCCCTCTAATAGAGCAGTAATTATTGGTTACCATTCTGCTAAGGATTTCTTCCTAGTATTTCACAAGCTACATAGTAGAGCCTGGTCCGGAAAAGCACCAGACGCGTTTCGCCCTATTTGAGCTCGTCATTGGTACGCATTCCCTCGCTCTTCTAAGAAGGATCGAACCCATGACCGTTAGAGGCAGATGCCAACTAGCCAGCAGCTTAAGCCACTGAGCCATGGGGATGTTGGCTGGACTACGTAATTTGCAAACTAACGGATATAGCACCGTCTTCCACTGTCACTGACAGTGCTTAGCCTGCGAGGTAATAACTTCCTCTCGCTAGACGCTATATCCATAGCATTCGAAACTAGGAGAGGCGATTTTTAATTTATATTACTCACGAGTAGCAGGACTTTAGTTGTAATTCTGATAAGGTTTCTTCCCAGTAGTTCACAAGCTACATAGTAGAGCCTAGTCCGGAAAAGCACCAGACGCATTTCGCCCTACTGAGGCTCGTCAGTGGTGCGCATTCCCTCGGTTCTCTAAGGATGATCGAACCCATGACCGCTAGAGGCAGATACCAACTGGCCACTGAGCCATGGGGACGGTGACTGGACTACGTAGTTTGCAAACTAACTGGGTTATTGGTAACACCACGTTGATTTCCGTTGATGTAAAGCTTATTTTGTCTCGTTTTATATTTGTGGTTTTGAGTTTTGCTAGTAACTGTTCTGTCGAGTTTATAGAGCGTTCTGCTCCCGCAATTAGATGTTTTAGCCGTCTCCAGAGCTTTTTTGCAAGTCTTCATCAGCACACATAAACAGTAGACAACTGGAATGACTTGACTTCTTGAACAAAATCGAAATGCGTCCACCTTGTTGTACTGCTTGATCTCTGGACGCATTTTCATATACGTTTAGGATAGACCGGTCTAATGCAATTTGAACACGTTATCCATCTCTTAATGCCTTAACCGCATTTCTCTGAAGAGCGCTTGCAGCGCTGGATCATGCTTGGACTTTTCCTTGTACGTTTTTGATCACGTGCCGATTGTGAGGGTCACCGTTACTTGGTGGTCAGTACTGAGACAGTGTTTAATGTAGGTCCAACATTGGTCGTTTCCACCCACGTGGCCACACGATTAGGGACAGATTGGTCAGTTGATCGATCGGTGGAAGCGGGCTACCGACGAACCTGGGAAACGAGTTGGAGCTGCGCGAAGCTGGATACGAATAAAGGACAAACAATGGATCACAAATAATTACGTAGCTGCTTAAAAAATACCGGATCCGAAGGAACGCAGGCTTATAGGATTCCTGAAAGATTGCTTTCACGAACATAGTTGGTTGAGTAACACAAATGCGATACGATTGTACGCATAGGCTTGGCCACGAGGGTTGTAAAAGTAGCTAGAATTGCTGGAATCATAATCTGTAGTTAATACTTTCGCTCCGATGAAAAAGTAAATTAACGCGATCCTAATGAGTGTAAGCTGAATGTGTTGTCTGAAGAGGAAGACCAGGAACTCAGCAAAAACGAAGTGCACAAAACCGATGCGGCCAACTACGTGTCGCATTCGAGTTAATGCTACTGCGTAGTCGCTGCTATCTATGTAAATGGGAACCGGTGACCTCTGGGTTACAAGTCATACGCCTCATCTATTGATCCACCGATCATCAGCCTCATTCCATCGCTCGTTTTATCTGCCTTAGAGTGGGTACTATAACATACTACGTTTTATTACCGTCCAACTCTCTCGTTCGCCTATTGATCCCCTCTGCATTTATAGCCTGCCGGAGAAACGCTTCACAACTTATCTGTTCTGTAAATGAACCCATATCTTGGGGTCTCAGTCACTTTTGCATTGTTTTTCATGAATGAATCAACCTATACCTCACTGTGCTGAGCATTCAATTTACCGATGGCCTTCGTTTATTTCACTCTATTGCAGCTTTCGAACTTCAAGACCGTTATCCGATCAATCAATAATATCACTGGCAAACTGGTTCGCGCGTTCGAACCGAACCTTAATGGGATGCATCTAATGGCAAGGATTCAGAATATGCCCGTGCGTCCATCATTTGTCCATGCCTTTCCTACATTACACGCACTTTGCAGTACTTACAGAAACGATGTAGTGTTACTTCTGCCATTTTATTACAACACGCAAACCCTATCGGCGAACATATTCTGATTTTTCTCGACCTAATACCGCTCAATTGCCCTATTTTATACTAACTACCCGGCTCGACTGATTTCACGAGGGTTTCGTATAATCCTTTGATGTACTTTTAGATTGCCCCTCGCTTTTTACACCTTTCTCCATTAGGCCATGCCAACTAGGATAAAACTAGTGTGCCACACTATGGCCATAACTTTGGCACCAGAGATACAGGGCGTTTACCTGTTGATATGTCATCATAATCAGCGCAATCGGAATAAAACTGGCTCAATCGATTTGCCTTACATCATACCGGTACATATTGCCTTGATGGTGACGGCAATGTCGGTCTTTGATCTCCAACTCGGGTTCACTCGTTTTTCTGTGTGGTCGGATTGCTACTGCTTACCACAAGTTTGATGGCTCTGCCATGTTTGGTCAAACAGCCGTTGACTTTAGTGACGTACATTGTCTTGGAACTTTCTGTTTGCGGTATTACGTACTCTCTTCTAATGACCTCTACATTTTTCAAGCTCTCTTCGCATCTCAGACACATGCTCTGGCACCACCGAGTGGCACATAGACAATACTAGTAGTGGGCTGTGTGCAGGGAAAACAGGGTATGCTACAGTCGCCCGTCAATGAGACATAATACAGCAATTGTCAGCCTACTTACAAGCGCTTAGAATGTGGCTCATTGGTTGGCGGCTGTGGCTTGCGTGGCTACCTCACGGTTTGGGTTGTGCATACATGTACAGTCCCCACAAGCGAATGCAGTCGGTCACCTTGTCCGTAGAAACGAGTTTTTTTCACGCCTGGTAGACGGACACTTGGTTCTCACGCTTCCCTGTTTCACTGATATACTCATCTGCGCTCTCCTAATTTAGTTATTAACGACAGAACTACGCTAAATCTAATCATATGGCTGTTGAGCTGTTCGCTGAGCTTGGCAATTTTGTTGCACACATTTTGCACAATTTTGTTGCAACAAAACTGCCAAGCTCAGCGAACAGTTCAACAGCCATCTGAACAACCTGAGCTACCAGTCTTCAATTCTATAGCCAAAATCTAATCATGTCAAACGAAACCTATATAAATAATGCAACTTCGAATCACGAACCTAGATTTCACACACAGTTTGGGAGAAAAACGGTTGTGGCAAATTATGTAATATAATCGATAAACTAGTATACAAGACAGCTCACGGCTAGGTTTGCAATGTGCAGACAACTGGTTGGTACGGATAATCGTAGCAGTACTGTTAGTAGCAGCTTGATGATTGTGTGACCTTGAGACGTAGAGTGCAGGCAAATAAAGGGATTTGATAACGATACTCACTGAAAATGTAGCAGTCTGAAGCGCAAAAGCGGGTTAGCAGTCCGGAAAGGTAGAAACAGGTGGGAATTTGGGCCCTGAGTCATCGAGAGAGTGTAATCCATTTACTGCAGGAAATCAAAGCGCTTTTGGAGTTTCCAATCACCGTAAGCTCTTTCGAATTGGATTTACTAACTCTATTCACTGAACCATGCATAAATTTATTTTCCACTACTCGCGATCTTAGCAACACCAGCTGTTTTATATGGCCCTAGTGCTTGGACCTACGCGCACAACCTTGCCGCTTTTGAATCGAATCTTTATTTTCCTATTGTTCGACATATAAATCTCGGAACTCTCCAATCATTCCAGACTTATTGCAATAAGATGTTCCTCAAGAAGTCTGTGGAGTAGTTGATCCTCTCGTATTCTATGCAAGTCGTTACGTTCAGCATAAGTATAGAGCTCCTACCCCGACAAACCTGATGTCTATCCACTCGCCAATGAACACAGTGCACTGTGCTCACTTTATCTTACTGTTGAGTCAACCAAATGTTGTTTTCTAATTTTAAATAATTCCCGTGTCGCTCATGAAAAGTCAGTGTAACAAACAAGCTCGTTTTCGGTGATTTATCATCAGACTAAGTACAGCAGATTTAAATAGCTAACTTAGAACAGGTTAAGGCAAGTACTAGAATTGGAGTAGGAGGTAGACACGATAACCGTGTTTCGACTGGTCCACATGATTGAGTGTGCGACAGCTGGCCAGGGGAGAGCCAGAGTCCTCACAGATTGTTTGTGCGCAAATAGATAGGGGTGGTTAAGACGTATGGCGCTCGCTTATGCCATTGCAAGTATGCGGCACTTGCTCAGTTTGGATCGGATTTCCCTCCCTCGATAGATCGGGCGGAAGGCCTTTATGATAACAACCGAGTGATTCGTATCGGTCATGTGTGCAGCAATCACAGTGGTGCAAATTTTGTCTACTTCCCGACCCAACCACCCTGAATGATGCTCACGTACATGTTCAGCTAACCGTCTTGTGGCGCGGCTTATGTAGCTTGTTCCACAGGAAAAATTAAATTGATACACACAAAGGAGGTGACATTCACTGACAGTTTATCATTCAGTTGTAGTTAACACTGGTGTGCAAGCGAAGAGGATTCGTAGCTGCCCTGGGAAATAGGTGTTCTTTATAGCGCTTCTGAGCCTTCTGCTGATGAATGTGGCCGTGTTATCCTTTGTGAAAGGCAATGATAAGTATACATATTTCTTTTCTACCCTAGGCAATTTAACACCTCGCTGGTCAATCAGCATGTTTCAGCCGATTAATGACTCGAGGTAGCCATTGTTAAGCAATGACTCTATTTTTACACGCTCCTGTGTAATCGTATCTTCCGAGCAAATTTTCATTGCTCATTGTGTAAGGCAACGGATTAAGTTGTGCTTCAGTTATTGTGGCACAAAACTGTCCAAATGGGTATACTGACTTATTTTCTATCAACTCTACCTTACAATGTTCCGTCTAGTCGACTCGACATTTGTACGTCTAGAAAGGCTGTGCCTTCATTCGACTCCGCTTGTATGCTGTAGTTAATGTTTGAGTGGGTCGCGCAAGGGTCAATGCATTCTGAGAGAGCCGTGATTTGGATTACACAATAACGTTAGGCATTGTTCGTCTGTCTTCATTGCGGAGACAGATGGAACTTGATGTAGTGGGTCTATTTACCCGGCATGTGCGCAATCTCTGACCGTCCTTTCAGGGAGCGGATGAAGGCGGTTTCCCTATGCCTACGGATTGTGACATACGCAGTCCTGCCCCGCACTCATTTGCCCTACGGTTGTGGCTAAACTCAAATCGCTTCTAGAATCAGGAGCTTTAGTCCTATGCCAAGCAAGGATATTCGAAACACTACAACTGTATCCCACACCAGTTGCACAGACACCATATTGTGGGATTTCCAATGTATCTACAGTGTTGCAAACTACAAAGGCTCTTCATCTCTGAGTGTCATTTGTCTTCGTGCTTCACATAAAGCGAAACATATCTTTGCAAAATTAGATCGTTTATGCCCCTATTCTCATTAAATACTCTAATGCTTCATCTCCATCCCAGGCTCTCCTTATTTCCTTGGGTAGACAATCGGTTTTCACTGTCTATTACTTTCTTTCTAAACAGCTCTTGTCACGTTGCCGTCTGATAGAGGTGAGTTGTTCACTTGTTCCTCAGATGCTTCCATTCATGCTTAACGTGTTGGTAGATCTATTTCGGAAATTGACCCAGTCTTCCAGTCAATTATTGAATTCCACACGCCCACACTGATGACGGTCTTTCGCATGTCTGTCAACTGGATACCTTGGAGTGTATTTATCAGTGCTCTGTTCATTTGCTTGGAACCCCTAAGTGGGTAGTCCATGATATCAAATCAACTCGGAATAGGCTTTATGTACTCAGGTAGGTATCTTTTCAGCACTTTACACGATCACTGCGAATGGAGAAATAGAGGAAATGGGTGTAAAAAACGAAAAATGTCTAATGCATATTGTGAACTTGTATCACGTATGCAAACTATTGCGCATTATACTGCTGATTTTCTTTGGGTCAACAGGTAATCGTGACAAAGAGAATGTTCCGCTTGAGACCTGAACGAGGACCATAGCACAAACTTCCAGACCACTGTGGAGAGTATGTCTCAACAGTAGGGGCATTACACCGCATATTTGCATCCAATAAAGTTGGACGATATCGAACGTTTTTCGATATAAAAAGGAAACCGAGGGGAGAGAGAATTGCTCCTTGTAAAACACCACGTTCGGAGCAATGTGTAAAGGGCATTGCTTCGCTAAACTGGGTGAAGTCGGTACGGTTTCTAAACTAGTCCGTAATCAAGATGCAGACATTTTGATGAACCCCACTCGTGAGCAGCTGGTTAAGCAGCATTGGTCTTTTAATGCTCCCGAAAGCATTTGAATAATCAAGAAGCAGGAGCTGCGCTGCGCTGCTCTGCAATTTTCATTCAGCTCAAATGCTACAGAATGTACAAGATACATACAGTATCTAGTGTGGAACGCTTAGGTTCATAAGCAACCTGGTATATATCGTCTGCCTGGGTGCGTGTAGAAATTTGAGGGACTAGTAGTTTCTCAAACATTCAATATCACAGACATTCATGCAATCGGACGACAGATTTGATACTCATTTTGGGCACAGGTGTTATCCTTACGGGCTTCCAAATGTCAGTGACTGTACAACTCGTAAGACACCGACTGAACGAAGCGATTAGGGGTACCGTAAAATGCGGTAACTTTGGCTTCTTGGGATAATGTTGGGCCAACATACAAACAATTATAAAGCAACTTGGCTAATTTTATTATTTTGTGTGTGGCAAAATTAGTTATATGTGTTGAAAATTCATTTTTCATCAATTTGAAATTATTTTATTATGAACTAGAATATTCAGTTTTGGGTATACTTCTTGTCAACCATGGCCCATGCCATGACATGTGTTTAACATACGGTATACTTTCATCTGTGATTCCTGTTTCTAAGGAATTATAACCATCTCTGTTGTCGCTTTGTGAATAAGTATCAGTAAACATATTCCGTATTATCCAAGCATATTTATCATGCATTATGTTACTGGCTTGGTGGCCAGTGTTACCCCAGTAAGGTTTGCTATTTTGGGGTAACTTTGGTTAATTAGCCAAGTAATCTTTGAAAGAGGCACTGAATCTCATAAAGGGATTATGAACTCGTCAAAGACAGCAATTGGTCTGATGTTTGCTGGCGCCGCTGATGGTGAGTTAATGCCGCCATATGTAGTTTGCAAAGCTTTGGGACACTTGGACGGAGAATGGTCCACCAGCACACGATATAACTTGTCAGGGTCAAGCCTGTTTGACAATGCCTGCTTTTTTGACTGGTTTCAGCAAGTGGCATTACCTTTCTGTCGCGTAAAAACTGGTCGTTGTGTCCTTTTGGGTGTCAGTAGTTCACATTTTTCACTTGACATTGTCAGATGCTGTAATGAAAACCGCATTGTTATTCGTTGCCTTCCACCTAACTCAACTCACCTCTGCTAGCCTATAGATGTAGCATTCTTTCAGTCTATGAAGACACAGAGGAAGGCCATCCTAACAAAATATAAAAACTCGTAGCAAAAAGGCCCAACCTATCCAGAGGGATAGGTTTCCGGGGCTGCTCAGACAACTGCTAGATACCATGGGCGAAGGTATTGGTCAATGGCATATTGCGGATAAAAGAAGCCAAAACTTGACATGTTCCGCCGGATGATCCGTTAGGGGTGAGCAAAATAAAGGCAAAAATGGGAATAGGAAATGGTAAACAACTGCAAATTGCGAATTTTTCGATTACAGCGTTCCCGTCCGTTTTATATACTATCCAAGGTTATCGTCTGTGGTTTCCGGACAAAATTGATCGTGGGCTGGTTGGTTTTCTGTTTACCTGCTGTTTTTATGGGTCGTTTGGGTTACGTCATATGGGGTAGTGTGACTAGTACACTGTCGGCACATGCTTTGAGCACGGCTAACGTGGGGGCTGAAATAATTGCTTTTGAGAGGGCATTTCACGTGTCGCAAACACGCAGCGAGAAGTTTAATTCGACACACCAACCGACTCTATTGTTCTGCCAATTTGAGATGATGACATCTCAGTTGGCTGTTGTGACTCAGATTCAATAGGTGATGGCAGGGATGATTAATGTTGTTTACTATTTGGTAACCATGATTAGGTCACCACGCAAACCGCGATAACCTCCACTGAAAATGCCAAGCACTCTGATGCGCTGTTCGTATGACAAGTGGCGCAGCCCCTTGACGTTTTTGGTCGCCTGACGTTTTGAAAGCTCCAAGACCGTGAGATCCTGCCATATCAGTAAACGTGCGGGCAAGTACCCAATTAGTCCCCAGTCTCTCCTGAGCAGAGTTCCAGAGGAAAATGAGGAAATTGCAGATGCCATCGGCACCTCTGTTTCTGAGGTATTCAAAGAACCACTGGAAGAAATGCACTTTGCCACTGTGAAGAAAATTTACCACAACTTAAAAAGGGTTCTGAACCCCCAACCTTGGAAAAGTGTCTTGAGTCCAACCGAAGATTTTTTTATCGGAATCGAGTTTTGTGCTGAACCAGAAAGTGACTCGGTAACCATAGCTTATCTGTGAGAAGCCGATTACTTGTCCTCCGTCACTGATGTAAGTGACAACCGACTAGAAATCTTTTCTTATTCTGATGACGAGTGTGTTCCACCATTAAAGGCCTGTTATTCTCGAAAAGTATTTTTGAGAAATTTGCTTACGTATTTGATAACGTTATAAATGCGTTGTGGTATTTTTCTATATAAGTTGTGGTCTATCTTACTATTGTGTTAATTACCAATGCTTCTCTATATGTGCAGTCATTATGGCCAAAGTATCCCCATTAAAGGGAACTTTGGCTATAGTGTATATTTTAAAACAACTAACCTCTGGGTACAGAACTGCATCCGTCAATATTTTCTACAGCATTATAATATTACATCACATTAACAATTCACTTAATAACGTTATCAAAAGTAATGATAAATGTGTGCTATATTCCAAATCAAAATTGAGCCAAAGTTGCCCGGTTTTACGGTATCCTGAGGTAATGCGTGCACTTTTTTTAAGAATGAGTGGTGGTAACGCATCAGGTCCAGCAACCATAGCTATCTTTAATTTCTTGTGTTCCTTGTAAATATCGATGTGATTAAGAGTGACCACAGGACCTGCGTTGATGTAGGAGGGTAGGGAACATGTACCCTGTAGATTTGTCCACATCCACATTCGCATTATGGAAATTCTACCTCATAGGTCGCGACAATGCTGATTATCTAACACATTTTCGGTGTATAAACGACTCAATCACATTGTCACTGATTCCATTGCCGAAGACTGCCGTTTAACTTGCGCAGACACTTTGCACTTATAAGCTCGTTCTTTCTTTCGTCTAAGTTTCTTTAGTAGCGGCGTAGAGAATCTGTCCATGCGTCGGTAGCTAGTTTCAACAGGGTAGTATAGATCGGAACAGTGGCTGGTACATGCGGTAAGTTGTTCGCACTCTAAACATGGGTTTTCGTGTGTGGAACCCAGTGTCACTTAGAGCTTCGCGATATTTGCTGTCCAGCAGTCTCCTCATACGAAGGTTTTGAAGGTTTTTTCAGAAAATTTTTGCTTTGCCGGAAATGACTATGTATGTCCTCAGGACAAAGTGGTCCGAGTTGCCTAGAGAAGCCCACTTTAAAGAAAACAGTTTTTTTGTGAAAACGAATTCCAACTGTGTGCCAAGTTTGGTTTCGGAAGACACTATATTTTTTACTAAATGTCTTGATGAATGTCTTGTCACTTTTGTTAAAATCACCAATAGTGCTGCGAATCGAGCACACAATTTTGAGCGCTATGGCTGCTGAAAGTCCGCAAAAGTTTTGAACACAAACGATGGTGTTATGGACCATGTAGCTGTTTCCGATGACGACGGAAAGAAATCCACGCAAAATTTTCGGTTTAGCTAGATTAAATGACATCCACTATAGGATGTTGACTGCAAGGTTACCGAAGGAAGGTATAATTAATTGGCATGTGTTATAACGCCCTGTCGGCGATTCTTTGATTTTCATGGTAGTCGGGCCGTACGAAAGGGTATCCATCGAATGGAATAACATCAATCTTAGGATGTAACCAACGTTCTTGTGTTAATCTACTGCCAGCCTTTGCAAATCCCTTTGCTGCATAGTGGCACTGAAGTCAACCCTTTTACCAAGCAGAGAGCGCATTTTGCTTGACGGATTTCGTGTTTTATTTATGTGGTATCATGACTCCAGCTTGCCAACCAGCACGGAGCTTTCTCATTCTACTAATGCGCTTTTTTTAAAATTAGTTTGATGGTGCTTCTGACTTCATGACCTCATGTGATAATAGGCGCGTTTCGCGCAGTGCCTTGGAACGATTTCAAACATGATTGTAGCATAACATGATGAGCTCAGATTTGCTCTAATAAACAATAGTTGGAGAACAACAAGACCAAATTGATGGCGTCGCAGTAAATAGCCTAAAAATGCTACACCTATGATAAACATTAACGGCAGATTTGAAGTCCCCCTTCGGAAAAATTTCTGTTTTTCCCAGTTCTAATCCCGTTTTGCACTCCGTTTCACCTTTGCGCTGCTCGTCATT